TTAAAATCTGCCCCATCCTTCTGTAACAATGTTCTTCCCGTTCTTTTCTGTTGTTAGTCAACTCTATCATCAGAGGAGTAATTTTCTGTGGTGCAGATCACACCCAGATGAACAGTGTCCAAGACATCAGTGCAAGGCTCTACAAACATTTCCCCCCCCCCCAGGTTGGAAGGGACCTCAAGGATCATCTGGAACAACATCTCTAGGTAATGTTTTCAGCCTTTTTTAGACACTTTCATGTGGGTGAGGATACCAGAAACCTGCACTTACCTCCTCCCTCCACTACACTAGTCCTGCTGTGTCTCTTCTTCTCCACTGCCTCTTCATATCCTTCTCTTCCTTGTTTTTTACACCATTTCCCCATCTGCTCTGTGCTAGTGTCAGAGTAGCTGCATGACCCCGTGAGGTCTTCAGTGCCTGCTCTCCCCTGATCTTCATGGTAGAAGGATAATTGATTCAGGTAAGGTGAGGTTCAAGGTTGGCAGCCAAAGCCTTCACCATGGACCTCTGTTTGGCAAGCATGGTGATGTGTCTTCATCCACGTCTAGCTGAGCATGGAAACTGCTGGAGTGTGTGAATTTCTTCCTGATAATCTTGGCAGAAAAAAATGTGTGAGGTGGTAAAAGAGGGTAGATGTGTTGTGGGCTGCTGAGGAGTCTTGGAGAACATGGATAGATGCAGAAGTAAGAACCCAGGAAGCCAGACTGCTGCTCTGAGCCCAGGACTCAGCTGACTGGGAGGGTAATGTATGAAGCTGTGGTAACTGGATTACTTTTAATCACATTCTGTTGCTCTGGTCTCTGTGAAAACTGAGTAACTGTGGGTGCAAAGCTGGAGCCAAGGGAGCCAGGGGAATCGGGGGAGCACTGAAGGGAAGTGAGGGGTACATGGGGAGCTGGTCTGAGGATCTAGCAGTGATGTCTCTGCTTCATAGAGGGGACTGAGAGTTTGGATGGACTACAAGGACAAGTCAAGATCTGAAGACATTGAGGAAGAGTGAAGAAAGCTTCATCCAGTGTAGGTTAACGGAATGGATGGGGACAGATGAACTTTGCAGATACAACACTCATCCTGGTGCTACTGGACTTTCTCTTTGAGGTTGCACCCAATTCTTTTGGAGAAGAATCCAGTAAGGGTAAATGAAAAACATGGGTGGCTCAGTGCTCAGGGTGGATCCCAGTCTCAAGAGCTCCCCACAAGGACTGCAGGGGCTTTTCTCACCAGCTGCACCCAGTGTAGGGGGTCATCACCACGTTCTCCTTTGGCATCAGAAGCTCTATTACAGAAGACTAGTGTCTGATTCACTCTGCCTCCTGAGCTCCCTGTGCCTTGCAGGAATGTTGCTGGAGAAAGGGGAAATCTTGGAGCATCTCCCAGCTCAGGGAGGTGCAAGGCAGGGGTTGGGAGGTGCAAGGCAGGGTTCACACTGTCCATCCTGCAGGCTCCTCTCTGCCCAAACCTGGGCTCTCTGTGCAGGTCAGCAGGAGAGGGCAGGCCAGGAGAGTTCACTGCTTCTAAGCCCCAATGTGCTCTGTCTGCCAGGCTTTATTTCTTGGCACCTTTTCATCATGTTTTTGTCACCAAACTTTGCTTGACAAGGGGTGGTTATTGCTTCCTCCTTCCTGCAGTGGCCCTGCAGCAGGCCCAGCTCCTGTTCTCCTCCTGGGCAAGCACGCTAAGCCACTGCTTTCCACCCTCCCTCTTGGCTTTCCTTTCCCCGTAAAATTTATTCACAGCCCCCTAGAAGGTCTGTGTGACAAGTGGCCTCAGGCATGGCAGTAGTAGCACAATTGTGGCTGGCTCTGTCTTCAGAGCAGCTCTTAAATCATGTCAGTTGTTTAATTTCTGATTTTTGGGGGGAGGAAGTCAGTCCTGGGGAATGCCCAAAGATGCTCTGACTCTCCCAGGAGCAGCTCTGGTGGATTCTCTCTCACCTGGATGAATTCAGACTCTGGGTTTCTCTTTGCTTTGCTCTTGTGTTTTTATGAGCCCTGCCATTTTCTGTGGTAGATCCCAGAGCTGTTGGCAAAGGGCTGGTAGAGACGTGTTGCAGCTTGTCCATGCTGTGCTGGCAGCCAGGCTGCTCACCCCACCCCTCCCCTCTTACTCCTGCTGGCTGCTGCCTTGGAGTCATCCATGACTTGAGTTTCCTGAGCTCAGCCCTTGGGATGGGTAAGTGCTCTGCTGTCCCCTCTGTGAGCAGGGTCTGCTGGAGCCCTGGGCCTCACCCTCTTTTTCTTCCCCCCAGCAACTCAGAGGAGCAGAAGAGCCTCTGTAAACCCTTTTGTGTGGAGCTGCTCTAAAATTAAGTGGCTTCCTGGCAGCAGCATCTAATAGAGATGCTTTTTACGTAACCCCCACTGGCTGCGCCTTTATCTTGGCTGCAGCCTGAATTCAATCAGTGCCCATAAAAGCACAATGTTACCTAGAAATACTTTTTGTGTGTTTCTGTTTCCATGATTCCCTATTAAAATCTCCTTAGTTTTGAAGTGATTTTTCTTTTTTCTTTTCCTGTTGATCCTTCTAATCTCTTTTCCTACCCTTTAAACTTCCCTGTGTTCGAGGTCTTTTCTTTCCTCCCTTTCCAGCATCACCCTTTGCTGGTCGTGCTTTTATCTCCTTCACTTTGCCAAGTTGCTGCTCTCAAAATTCCTGAACGTCTCTTCTTTGAGGCTCTGTGACCTCGGATGGCACCAGACACATCCCAGAAAAGTTACCTTTTGGAACCAGATGGGCATGGGAGAAAGTTTATAGTGCAGTTTGTCCTTTGTTATTCCTTGTGTTAATAATAAGGTCAGAAGTAATGAAGAGGGTGAATGTGGGCACTGGGCCAGCCGTGTGTTTGAGAGCAGAGGAAGGGATTTTCCAAATAATATAGAGAGAAACAGACACTCCCTGGGTTCATTGTCCATGAAAGCAAGGCCAGCAGCTTTGTGCTTGTCCAGATTCCCACAGAAATGGGTATGCGCAGCAAGGGGAGATCTTGTGGCAAGGGCTTGGTTTTGGTTTCACAGCCAGATGCTGCTGCCCTGATGTGGGACTCACCACCTCGTGATGAACTGTTCCCCAGCTTGTCCTCCTGACATGTGTCTTGTCAGGCACTGGGGCAGGGACACAGACTGTGCTGGCACCGTGTCCCTGTCAGCAGTGACTCAGTCCCTGTCTGGAGCAAAGTCACCTTCCACAGGGTGATGTGGTGGTGGCAGTGCCAGCCCAGAGAGCCCCTGGGATGCTGGGCTCTTTGAGGCTCTTGCCAAAGAGTTGCTGAAAGGCCACCCAACCTCCCTTGCTGTTGCTCAGTGTTGCAGACCAGTGTTCCTTCTGCTCTGGGAGGTTTTTGGGAGCATCCCCATGAGTGGCGAGAAGCAGCCACGTGCTCCTGTGCAGCCCTGGGCTGGGAGTGTGCAGGGGGTCTGGGGGTGTGCAGGGGGGGTCTGGGAGAGTGCAGGGGGGGCTGGGAGCGTGCAGG